ACAAACAACTATCAGAATCATGTAAAGCGCAACTTGTCCTTTCTATTGGTTGTAAACAGACTCTTAAGAAAAGTAGGTGGAACTAAACAAGAGGTTTGGAAAGAATGGAGTAGGAGGAGGTGCCACTCTAGTTGATTTGCTAGATACATTGATTTCTCAGCAAATCAAAGTGGTAGGAAATTCTAAGTTTATATTCTAGCTTGCCAGTATCTAAAATTTATGCTTCTAATTCGTTAACCACTTGTAGATGTTTATAGTAGGCATCAAAAATATAAACTGAGCAACAAGACATGAGAAGGTGCTATGAGACACACACAAATCAATATTTAGCTTTATTTTATTTATATTTTCTTTTGAATTAAGAAATTAAAACATACATAATATTAAAATTTGAAATATAAGCAATGTTTTGATGCCAATTTCACTTATATATAATAATAATAATAAAATTACTTAATAAAGTTTTGAAAATAAATCGCTAAAAGTCCATGACATGCGCAGTTAGACCCACCAGTTGCGAAAGGGTTAAGCTAATAATTGTGATTTTTGTTACAAATATTCTTGGCCAATGTCAATTTATATCTAATTAATATATATATTCTTTTCAATAAGGTTTTTCATTTTTGTGTATTATTTTAATATGATAAGCCTAACAATAATGTTCAATAAATACTGGTGTAATTTATCAGAATACTTTGCTGTTACCTATTACTTTCTGAGCCTAACTAATACCCAATATTTTGTCACAGAATATTTCTGTAGCTTCCAAATAGATATAATTAAACATAAAAACATTTACAGGAACTACAAAACTTCTGAAGAAACTATAAAAAAAAACAGATATCTGTAGTTTGCTCTTAAGTATTTTAAACTTTCCATTACATTCCTTTTTTCATCCCTACAGATGCTCTGGCTAATCACTTTTTTCAAGAAACCATTTATTACTGCTCAATCTATCTAATTTACTCTCCACTGACATAGTATAAATAATTTATAATTTATTTTACTCAATTATACTTAAACCATGCTTCTAGCTCTTTTGCAAAACTGTTCTTCAAATGGTGAAAATAATGGGATGAAACAATAAACTCACTAACAGAGAAAAAATATGATATGAGAAACAGGAGATGAATAATTATATTCTGAAGGAATGATAGTTTTCAACAAATATTAATCTATACTTTTGGGATAAACAAAAACGTTCTAAACAAAATGTGTTGTTTACAAATAAAGCTCAGTGCAATAGAAGTTGGGAAAATATTTTTCAGTTTTCTGTGCAAATACAATAGTAAATGTTACATAAGAAAAATTCCAAAATATTTGCGAGTTAAAAATTATTGAAATAGTTAGAATTATCAACTCTCTTTAAATTTTGGATATGATATAAAGGTGTACACATGACACACACAAAAGACTCATTGTGGTCTGGATATGGTTAATATGAGTATTTTTGAGAAACTTTTCATATCCAAAATAACTGTTATAGATTATGTGTAATACTTTTTAGATGCAAACTGGTTGCATGATGCAGAGAATTTTCTATCATACAAAACTAAAAGAAAGAGATGTAAAAAAGATTTTTTTTTCATGCACGTTGATTAATACAATTAGCTTGCAGATAATCTTCGGAAGTGACTAATATGAGTGACTAGCTGACTGCCCATCACATGACAGTAAATGCTAATAAATTTTTCTTCTGAAAATTAAATCTAAATGTTTTATGAACAGGTTTTCTAAAAATCAATTATTTTAAAGTTACATTGTTTATATATACACATAATGTTTATCCTTTATCTAGTATTTCAAGAAAACATTCTTTATCTATATTTGGTCATCTCCTGTAAGTGGTCATTAATTAGAATTTTTACTTATGTATATTTCTATGTTATGTTTAAATCTTCTTGATAAAGTCTTATAGATTGAACCATGCTAAAAAACAGGATCTCAAAAAAATATTTCTACCTGGCCAAATGTCTAAATCTGCGATTTATTAACCCTATCGCCCCGAGTATCCTTTGACACAAGGTTTTAGTGTCTTACATTTAAAATTCTATTAAACTACTTTTTGTTTATGTTATACCAATTAGAATAGCATGAAATTCTAGCTAATAACCCATACTTTAATAGTATACAAGTTTTAAGTACTTAATTGTAAATGGCAATATGAAAAACAAATCCTGAATTTCCACTAATGTGACCCATTTTCTCTTAGCGTGTCATCATCCCCATTTTATCCACCACCCCTAAAAAAAGTATGAAATTAAACGTGTAATAATCTCTATAAAATCATTATTGCTCAGACAAACCATAATTTTAACAGCCTTCAATTTTGTTTGGTTACAGAGCTATCGATTACAAAATCAGACCCCTCCTGCCACACCCACCTGTCACATCCTCTCATTCACAATTCATTCAGAGTTCTCTTACATTTCATTATATACATTACCTATAACCAATAAAAAGTTAAGGTTTCCATCTATCAAATGAAGTATTGTATAACATTATGTTCTGAACAGAATATCGTCAATTTCACTCACAGTACAAGGTTTGTTCCCGTGGGAAAGTTAACGACCATCTTGGATGAATTTGTAATGGCTCTTGTCACATAGTTAGAAAGCCAAAAACATTTTGATAGGTAAGTGAATTTGTCTGCTTTTTGCATGTTATTAGTTTATACTATTTTGTGCAATATTTGATTAAATAAAAATTATTAAGTGCATTACTATCTATAGTATAAAAAATTAGGGTTAACCCTCTTCGAAACCTGATTGCAAGAAAAAAAGAAGATTGGTTAAGTACTT